AGAGGTAACTGGAGATCTGGCAAGGCTTAAGAACTCTCTAAGCCCACCCCCAGTGACATGCTTCCTCCATGATAGCCACACCTTCTAAAACCTCCCAAGACAGCGCCATCATCTCGGGATAAAATGTCCAAATGCTCGGAGCCTATGGGGGACATTTTCATTCAAACCACCACAGCTTATAATAAGACCTTAGTACTGACGTTAATATCAATTTAAGACTGTTTAACAGTGCTTTAAACAATGCTTACTGATAGATAAAGTAGCCTATGGATGAATCTGGTTGATTGGGAGAAAGCACCAGGACACAGATAAAATTCCATTGGCATAGAGTTTATTAGCAAAGGAACACATGGGACAGATTCCCTTCCAGGCAGGGACAATGTCTGCCCTGGGTTGTGTGCTGGGGTCTTTTTTATAGGGGTAGGCTTCTGCTTCCTGCAGAAGGTAGGAAGATACATATATTTTTTAAAAGTTGTCGGGGGGAAGTGGGAGAGCAGGACTGTTAAAACTTGCCCTCTTTAGAGATCAAAGGGGAAGCCTGCTGTGTTGGCCAAACAGTGGAGAAAATCTGCTTCTTTTGACTTCAAAGACCAGGGTGCTTATCAACTCGGTTCCCTTTTCTCATGGGCTTATGAGGTCCGCGAGGCCCTGTTGGTGAGGGGGCAGGGCTAGCTGAACCTTAACTTTCCAGTCTTTTGTGTTACAGGATAGGGGGCGCCATTGTTGTCTTGCTACTTCCTGCTGGACAGGGTCGATGTGGGAGGGGCTGGATTAGGGGTTGATCAGACAGTGGGGGTTCCCTCTTCATGTGTCTGAATAGGGTCCTCAATAGCTGACAGGCATTCATATACATATGGAAGGAAGGAAAGTAACAACTGATTAAAATTATTACAAGAGTAAGATTTTTTGAATTTGAGTCCCGAAAATATCTGAAGAGCAAGGAGCAATGGTTAGCACCAAGGTGCTCTTCTTTTTTTTTTTTTTCTTCTTCTGTCAAGGCTGAACTCAACAGTGATGGACTTAGGATTTATTTTCAGGCATTTTGATAGCTGTTGGAGTGGCTAGAATCAGTGTCAGTTACTTCTCAAAGGCTTCTAGATAAGGAGAGAAAACAAATTTAGCCATCATTTAATTTTTTAAACTAGAACAATAGTGGGTTGCCTCCCTTAGCTGTAGGTGGGCACTACAATATTGCAGACCAAGATTTGAAGTCTTACATCAGAGTAGCATTGTCTTATTAGGAACAAAATCATCAATGAGAGATAATTGTCTAAATAACATAAGAACTTACATCTAATGTCTGGGTTGCATCTGGGTTCAATTCCTTGAACCCTTAAAATATACTGATGACTTTAATTTTTGGTTCTATTTTCCTTTTGGGTGTTTAAGACCATACCGTTGGCCCAAATAAACGAATTTATTTTTACTCTTAAGGTCGTATGAGGATTTGGACCTCAGGGGTCACACGGGCTTGCGGGGAGCCCCTTGTTCCTCAGGCTTTCCTTTTACCAATTCCATCTACATGAAGATAAGTCAAGAGGTCCTGCTTGACCAGGGCTTTGCTTGGAAGCATGGAGGAAATGTTTCCTCTGTGTTGACCTTCCTCTTTGCAGACTGGACACTAGTTAAAGTCCATCTTCTGGGGTCTCCATGGCCTCCCTGAACAAGAGGACAGGTGACTCACCAAAGTTACAGGACATTTTGAGAGATGCGCCATAGCCCCTGGAACTTGTTTGACCTTGGAGGGCCAGGAACAAAAATTTGTCCCTTTAAGTCCCTCTGACCAGATTAATATAGGCCTTAGAGTCTGGCTATTAAACATTCAACAATGTTCGTAGATGGTACATTACACCAGTCTGGTGCATCAATTACCATGTGCTATGTAGATAGAGCTTGGGCAACATCTTCAGACTAGTTGACTAAGCTGTGACCTTAGAAATTTTAAGATTGTCTACACGTTATCCTTGTCTCATGCTTGTTAT